GAGTCAGAAAGAAAGTAGCCAGTTTGCCAAATTGCTTATTTGTAAAGTAATAGCATTAGCACTTCTGCACTTCTTTATTAGGCTTTGTTCTGTGTAAAAATACAAACTAGCACAGATACTACGGCACTGCTTCACAAATCATTTAGATCCAATTTATTTAGAACTTTCTTTAAAAAGAAAAAGAACTCTAGAAACAGAATTGCTTCTGTGAGCGAGTCCCCGTTTAAAGTTTCATTTTACATAAAGGTGACAGGACTTTTACCTCATCCATCTGTGTTCAAGAAGTAACTATAATAATGATAACAAAGCAATCAGAATTTTTGGCAGGTTTCTTAAAATTTAAAAAGTGAGTCTCCTCCAAATGTCTTTTCTCTCTAAGGCTGAGCAACACAATCAGCAGAAGAAAGTCATTTTGGAGGCTTCATCTGTACCTTATGTTTTGGTCATTAGATGTCATTGCCATAGATGGGAGTGGGTAAATCAAGGCATCAACTAATGTTTGGAAAAGCAAAACAAAAACAAAAAGAAGTTTCACATACATACAGCAATTAAAATGACAGAAATAGATCAAATAAAGTCTGAAGTTTAAATATAGAGTCCACGGCCCACAGTCAAAGTCACCTTTTTTCTTCAGCCTGGCTCTACGTACAGCCAACACTGATCAGCACTCATCACCTCAGAGATCTAGATCTTATGCATGGTAGTAGTTCACTGAAAATGGAGGCAGCTGACTGTAGAGGGCTCCGAAAGTGGTCACCAAATATTTAAATAAAACCCTAAATTTTATGAGGAGCTTTTGTAAGAAATCTCTGTCAGACGAGACGATTTATGGACCTGGTTAGAAGCCTCGCAGCAGCATTCTGGACAGTTTGTAGGCGATCCAGGGACAGTTTGCTTAGGCAGAGGAATAAGGAATTGCAATAATCGAGGCAGGATGAAAAAATGTTCTATACATAGTAGAGATGGCACGATACCACTTTTTTATGTCCGATACGATATCATAAATTTGGATTTCTGCCGATACCGACATGAATCCGATATAGTGTTTTTTAATCAATAAAACTGTTTTTTAATATCTTGCTGCATTTTGTATAAGTTCATACTCAAGTTTAAATAAACAACACTAAAGCTATTCTGTTATACCTGTATGTAAAAAATACACTGCACCCAAAATGTTTCAATACTGATCAATCTAATAAACTTAAACCTGCTCCATCCTCCCTATTCTGGTATTTTAAAGAGTACTTAGCAGAAATATTAAGCAACCTAACTAATAGGGTTGCAAACTCCCAGCAAAAAAAGGGAACCACCCCCCACCCTCCACCTCATGATGCTTAATCGACGTAATCAACTTTAATTTGATGCAGTGTGAAAAAAAATGCACAGAAATAAATTATTTTTCAAGAATAATTAAATAGATTCAACATCTTTCTTCAACAGAACTGCAGACTGCACAGATGGTACCTTCCCAAAGGAAAAAGTACTATAGCTTACTAGGGTATATTAGACTTAACAGTTACTATATACAGTAATGGACTTCTATACATTTTACATCAGATTAAAACTTTGGGTGTAAGATTCAGATAATTATTTATTAAAAGCTGACATTTTAAATGAGAATAAGAAAGAAAAGTATGTCTTTGTGCCCCCTTTTCCCTGTTCATGCCCTATCGGCCCCCCTGGCTAAACTTTGCTAGATCCGCCCCTGCACAGTTACCAGCCGTCAGCTCGTAGAAAAAGATCCTGGTGTAGAAAGTAATATTAAATAAATTCTAACAACAGCTGATCAAGCTTAAACGTGCTGCTGTTGTTCAGCTGCTGGTTTCCTCTTTCTGGTGCAAAGTGGGCCAAAAACAAACAAAGGATCGGCAGAAGCCGATCAGCTGATCATTGATCAGTTTCATGATTGAAGTAGCAGCGAGGAGAGAGAGGCAGTCGCTCCATATATCGGTTGTTAAGCTTAACGTGGGAATGCTTTACAAACATTCAGAGATGAACTTACACACTTGCTTTACTTCTCTCTGGGAAAACTTCTCTGAGTTTGGTAGCGAGGCTACAAAGACACACAGCCGCTCTATCACGTGACGCACACTGCTCCGACGGTTATGAGCCGAGTTACGCCGTGTTGCAAGTTTTGTGAGGTGCTTTTTTGATATTTAATGGATCGGATTACATTTCTTATTTCTCTCCGATATCCGATCCAGTAATTTACGTCAGTATCGGACCGATACCGATACGTAATATCGAATCGGTCCATCTCTAATACACAGCGATGGTAAAAGGAAAGTGTTGAAATCAGAAGCTGTGCGGCAGGCTGAGATGTTGAATAAAGGGAAGGTGTGAACACAGATAACTGGTGAAAGTTGGGCAGGTCGCTGTATGAGCGACTGTAAGGACACAACGGTTTGTAAACGGCACCTTTATTATGTTTCCTTTTCAACACGACTGACATAAACAGGGACATGAGTCCCATGTTGTGTACAGCCTCAATAATGAGTCATTTGTGCAAAATAATTATTATTGCCTTCTGAAAAACATCGGCTACTCTGAAGTAATGTTTTGAGCAGTATATAAAGTATTCTTTATATCTTACTGTGTTTATGAGTTTGTGTTGCCCTTAAAGCTTTGATGGGTGCTGCAGCTGTCTGTGAGTGTCTCTATAACAGTTTAGGTTACAGTGTTAAGCAGCTTAGAGATGCCAAATGGATTAAGTGTTTTGTTCATACATAGTAAAGTAATCTGGTTAGCAAAGATGATACATTCCTCCTCCTCCATCTGCCCACCCTCCTTTCTTTTTCCTCCGTATTTCCACATTTCTTTCCTTTCATCCCCTTTCAGTTAAACACACACATACATCTGCAGAGAGCAGTCTTATAGAAAGTGGTCTGGAGAGGTCAGCTTATATATTTTATGCCCATCCATGATAAAAAAAATTCCATTTGCAGTAGGGTAGTGTCTTTTTTTTTTTTTTAGCTTCTGTGATTGTTTTTAATGCAACATTTTTTTCTGCTTATTCAAAATAAACATGAATTGTATAAGTTCAGTATGTCCGTGTATGTGAGAACAGCACCTGTAAGTATGTTCAGGATGAAAATCTTCCTTTCTCTGTCCCTGCAGCTCAGATCACCAAGTATCAAGTAGCTGGGCCCTCGTGGGTCCGGACACAATAAGTGTTTATATCTGCCAATGTGCGTGTGCATGTTTGCAAGTGTGTCCTTTGCCAGCCAGACAGCTCTGCTTTAATATTTTCTTGGGTAATATTACCGACAATGCAGACAGGCTTCTCACTTTCCCTTTTGTGTCTTTATTCTCCACTTTCTGTGCTCCTGTTTTGAACTCTGAAATCTCTCCTCTCATCATTTTCTGTTTTTCTCACATCTTTGTTTTTTTTTCCATCTTACTACAACAAAGGTAGCAACAGAGCCAGAAGCCTTACTGTCCACACACACACACACACACACACACACACAGTAACCTGCAACAGTATCAATGTATTAAACCGCAGTGACACTAACTTTCCTCCTATAGGAACCTTCTAAAGAGGGAGAGAATTAAGCGTAACATGTTTTGTGATTGCAAATCCTTTAGGTTCAGACTTCATGTCTGTTGTTCTACACTAGAATTATGTTAAAGTTTCAACAATTTATTCACTCAACCAAATCAGTTTATTTTCTTTGGGTGAAATGACGTGATGAAAGTCCATCCCTTCATCTTGTTCGGCTTATCTGTTTCAGTGCCTTGGCTTTGGCTGAGCGTATCCTGTCACAGGGTGAAAGGCAGAGTACATCCTGTACAGGTCACCGAACCACTGCAGGACTAACACAAACAGACAACTGCTCATGCTCACAGTCACACCTATGGCCACTTTAAACTCTCCAATTAACTTACAGCCATGGATGTGTTGGAATGTGATGGGAAGTCAGAGCACCTGGAGAGCACACAACACGCACACAGAAAGGCCCCAGCCACCTCTTAGATTCAAACTCAGCACCTGTACGGCAACAGTGCGAACTACTTCTTTAAAATAGTAATTAAAACATATCAAATACTTAAACTGAGATAATTATAAAAATCAGTTTGCAGCATGTCTCAGAAGCAACAGTTGCCTTTGAAAATTGAATAGATTCTCACCAGGCAGCCTTGAATTGCCAGATATTCGTACATTTAACTGGCAGGGCTTTTTGGTTTTGCCCCCCGCTCGACCACCATGCGGGACACTTCCTGGGAGTGTGCACAATAATCTTGGATATCACTTTAAATGTCAGAGAACTAAGTTTCTCAAATCCATGTTTGTGCTGTTTTGTCTTAAACAACTTAATGGTTGCAATTAATACATTTTTACATAAACCCCAAATATCAGAATTAGGTAAAGTAACATGTTTGGAAATTGTTATCAATGCTTTTATTTACAACTTATGATCCTCTAATAACAATAGCTGATAGTTTTAGATTGCTTTTTGTAATTACTGAAAGAGGTCTACTATTCCATTACATGAACAGATAAATGACTATCATTGACCAAACTGTGAAATAAAGTTATATACGTTTATATACATTTCTGTCTAAATAGTGTAGCAGCTGGTGCTAGAACCAGCTGTGCTCGTCTCTACTGAGACTGAAGAAGGCAAACATGTGCTGCATGACATTCAGCAGCCCAGGTTTGAGTCTGACCTGAGGCCCCTTGCTACGCGCCTTCCCCTGCAATCTCTCCCTGCTTTCCTGTCGACTCTCCATTACGGCAGCATCCAATAAAAGGCAAAAGGCCCCAAAAGAGATTTTAAAAAGTAAAAGTGCAACTGGATTTCTTGTAGCATTTTAACAGTATAACGTTACTTTCAAGTTGGCCCACGAGGATGTCTACCCCATCAGCTACACAACAGTTGAATCAGAAAGACCGAGCTAACTGTTGTTTCTAAGTATGACAGAGATGAATAAGAACTGTTACTTGAGCACAAAGCAGGACATGATATCAAAAATGGAGCGAACAGTTGATCTCCTACCATTGTCGCTGTCCGATTTGTTCTCGTGCTCAGTGTCAGTTAGAGTCAGCACTGAGTTGGAGCGGCTCGACAGGCAGGAACTCCTCCCGGATGATTTACCCAGACCTCCGCGGCCCCACAGATGCATAGCATGCTCTGGGGACATGACTGCCTGACTATCAGTGTCTAGCTCCTGAGCTGTACCAACTGAGAAACCACGGTGGGGTGGAGGCATTTCAGGGCAGAAAGGCAGGCCGCGACGAGACGGTGGCTCACAGATCCCCAGCTGACGAAGACTGAAGTGTTGACCTGAAACAGATGGCCGTGTTCAAATCATTTAGAAATCATTAGATCATCGCAAATGACTATAGCTCTAATACACAGAGATGGTGTGACTATGGCATAAAATATACACTATATTGCCAGTGTACACTCACCCATCCAAATCATTGAATTCAGGTGTTCCAATCACTTCCATGGCCACAGGTGTATAAATTTAAGCACCTAGGCATGCAGACTGCTTCTACAAACGATTGAGAAGAACAGTAACTCAGCCACAAAGTGGTAGGCCATGTTAAATCGCAGACCGGGGTGCTGGGTATGCAGAGGTCACCAACTTTCTGCAGAGTCAGTTGCTACAGACCTTCAAACCTGATGTGGCCTTCAGATTAATTCAGGAACAGTGTCTCTTTATTAATCTCTGTCTCTCTTCCACAGCATGTCTTTATCCTGTCTTCCTTCTCTCACCCCAACCGGTCGCAGCAGATGGCCCCGCCCCTCCCTGAGCCTGGTTCTGTTGGAGGTTTCTTCCTGTTAAAAGGGAGTTTTTCCTTCCCACTGTCGCCAAAGTGCTTGCTCATAGGGGGTCATATGATTGTTGGGTTTTCCTCTGTATGTGTTATTGTAGGGTCCACCTTACAATATAAAGCGCCTTGAGGCGACTTGTTGTGATTTGGTGCTATATAAATAAAACTGAATTGAATAGAAAACTTCATCGAATGTGAGTTTATGACCAAGCAGCTGCAGTCAAGCCTCATATCACCAAGGACAACGCAAAGCATTGGATGAAGTGATCTAAAGCAGACTTCCAGTAGACTCTAGAGCAGTGGGGATCTGATCTCCGGGGTGACAAATCGTGTTTCTTTGTATGGCAATATGATGGCATCTGAGTTTGGCGACTGCCAGGAGAATGTTACTTCGCTGTCCAGTGTTATATTTGTTGGTGAGGGGATATGGTGTGGAGTTGTTTTTCAGAGTTGGGCTTGGCCCCTTAGTTCAACTAAAGCAAATCTTAATATTCAGCATAACAAGATACAATTTCAAGCTCCCAGCTATGTGGGAACAGTTTGGGGGTGGCCCCTTCCTCTTCCTACAGCACTGTGCACCAATGCACAAGGACAGAGTCCTGACCTCAACCTGACAAACACCTTCGGGATAAACTGGAAATATAGACTGAGATCCAGGGGCTCTCGCCCAACATCATTGTCAGATGTTGCAAATGGTCAAAAATTCCCCCAAACTCACTCCTAAACCTTGTGGAAACCCTTCCTAGAAAAACTGAAGCTATTATAGCTGCAAAGGGTGGGCTGACATCACATTAAACCCTATGGATTAAGAACGGGATCTCACTCAAGTTCATATATGTGTGAAGGCAGACGAGTGATTAATTTTGGCAATACAGTGTATATACAGCAGGTGGAAGACAGCTATGGAAAAATAGTCAAACAAGTCTGTGAGGAATCTTTGACAAAGCAATTCTTATGAGACTGAATGAATAACTCAGAAGACAAACCAGACAAAAGGTGCCTCAAATCCAGTTAGACGTTGAGAATATAAGTGCTTTCAGTCTCATGTATGGTGGTGCAGCTCACAGTGACATGTACATGTTTAATATAATCAATATGAAGCTGTGCTTTAGTTTTGTACACAGTTTGCTCAGATGTAAATTAGAGAGTTAAAGATCAATTTTACTGCTAATTAAATGACAACCTTTACTCATTATTAGTGTTATTACAGTAAAAGCAGTAAGTGAAAAATAATAATAAATAATTATATGATAATAGTAAACATTATGGATTTTAACAGCTCAACAGCTTTTTAAACAGTGAATAACATTAAAAAACATTTACCGTTTGTACCGACACTTTCCCAACTCACTGTAGTCAAATTTGGAAGGTTTCTAAATAACAAGCTAAGTATGTGTGCGGGAGGTGGAGTGGTCTAAAAAGAAGGAGCCTGATATAAAATAAAACAACAAGAATGTATTCAGGGCAGCCAATAACCCAGAATCATCTTGATGCACGCTCAATCATCCAGGTAAGAACATCTCCAAAAGCTGATTCTGTTCATCTGGATGTTTTCAGTGGGAGAAACGTTTCGTCGTCTTCAGTCTCAGCTGACTGCAGGCTTCAATCTTATAAACAGGACATTTGCATGATGACTGAAACCAGCCCACTGAAGGAACAATGGGCTGGGAGCTCAGTTCCTTAGTCTTAATTATGCAAATTCTCATGGCCATTGATCAGCAACCACTGATCAAAACCCACTGATCAATGGCCATTCACAGATGGTACTCATGGCGAAAGTGACGAAACGTTTCTCCCACAAAACGCTACGTCCAGAATCAACTTTTGGAGAAACCCAGAATCATGTTTACGCTGAGTGTCTGATGATCCTAGCTTTCCTGTCAGAGCCTGAGCTTTGACAGGTAACAAAGGCAGTGACGAGCAATAACGTTTCTATCCTAGAATCACTGCAGTTGCCTTGAAGTCTGTTTGGGCTAGTTGTCATCTTGGTTTGTCAGGTGTGTGCTCATACATAAAAAAGATTGCATGTATTTCCTCAGTAAGACAGGGATCTGTGTTGGTGTGTGATTGTAGCCTCAGGTTTATTTATAACTGATGTGTTTCAGGGCATTTTACAGAATAACAAAGTAACGTACGTATTGTCGAAATTACTTTCTATGATGAGTAATTAAGTGAGGTACTGCATTACTTTTAAGAAAGGTAATGCGTAACATGTAATACATTACTTTTTCTCAATAATGACTGTAACATGGGAATAAAGTAGTCTAAGTAAAGTCTGCGTTTTTTTCCCTCCTGTACTCTTGTATTAAAAATCTGCAATAATTTAAAAATAGATGCAATACAACAGAATGAAGACACTAAATAGTAAATAAAAGTAAATAAATAAAATTCAATTTTCTATTTCAAATGCTGTTTCTTTGATATCTGTATTTCATATGATTTAATTACATTTAATTGGAAATGAGGAGTAACTGGAATTGAGCTCAAATCGTTTTCAAATAACAGGATACTCCTTAAAAACATATTTAAAATCTAAGTGTGTGCTTCATTTTCAATCAGCAGTTATAAAATCATTCTATGATTAACAGCACAGCAAGACTAATTTTCTATTATATGTTCAATAACGTATACTGTTGTTTAGTCTTTTGTTGATTTTTATTCATTTTACTGTGTGATTTTTCTCTTTTCTCACTTTTTCACTTTCATTGGGCGATTATAGCCTTCAGACTTATTATCATATGCTTCCATCCTCTTTCTGGACTCCTGTCATATATACTTTTAATGTTAGGTTATGCAAATTTTATGCATACAATTCTAGGTTGTTTAAATTTCATTTATATGTACTTTAATGTCTCTACATTGTAATCATATTTTTAAAGAAAGACAATTCATATTTCTAAAGTAACTGATGGAAATATCTTTTTTACAGTAGTTTTGTTGGTCTTAGTGCACACATACAAATAGATGGGGATAGCATTGCTGTCTGTGCACTTTTGCAGACTCTCACCTTGTCTGTTAAAATCATCCTTTTCATGGTGAACCATGTCCTTGTGTCCCTTGGTTGTCCCGTACAGTAACCTGTCAAAAGCCAAGGGCAAAAAGGATAAAGGAAGGTGCTGCACACACGCTGTAGGCTTTTGATGATCCATGTTCTGAACTATACAACTACCACATCATCATTATACCATCATCAAAAATACAGGAAACAAACTACACTCTGCTTTTTTATGAATGTTATGTAACTGAATGTATCAAAGTGAAAAACAGACAAAGTGCAAATTCTTATGATGAAAAAACTGATACTAGTAAATAGGGCTGGACGATATGGCCTAAAATCCATATCGTGATATAATTTGAAGCACGTGCGGTAACGATATACATCACGATATATTCTTTTCTTCTGTATAACGTATTTTCCACACTATAAGGACTTAAAATCCTTTAATTTTCTCAAAAATCGAGAGTGTGCCTTATGTATGAATTCTGGTTCTGCTTACTGACCTCGAACCGACTTTGGCTGCAGAAATCTGTTAAAAAATGTTTTAGTACAACTTTGATAAGCCGCACTGCTTGATGGATCGTCAGAGCATTACGGCTGCCGTAGTGAGGAGCTTTGTGGAGTAATCTGGGTCCTAAACTCCGTCCGCTTCAGGTCCCAAAGTCAAACGAACACAGAGTTAAAAACGGTCTAAATTCTTTCATCTTTAATAAAATCATCAGCGTTGCTGCTTTACCAGGTGTAACAATTAAGTTTAACATCCAGGCATCCATGAAAACAGAATTTAAATTTAACGGAGTTAGAAGTTAACAGGAAGTTAGCTTGCTAGTTTCCACCTAAACATTTCATACCATGTTCTGAGAGATTTTTGAAACTAATTCAAGCGTACAGCTCTGCTGTCACTTCCAACATAAATGAAGACAGAAAACTAAACAGCAGTGGCGTTTGCAGGGTTACTGAAGTTGGGCTAGCTGGTATATAATGTTGTGCTACGTGATTGCTAGCGACACAGCTATGTTAGCATAACATTAGCACAGTGAAGCTGGAGGATGAACGCCAACTTTTTTCAACTCGATAAAAGTTAACATGAGGGATTCTGGTGGTCAGGGACAAATGCAATCACATAGCAGGATGCTGTACACGGGCCAAACTTCAGTCAGGAGAACAACTGAGATCATTCATCCACAATACGAGGTTAGTCATTAATATACTGCAACAACATGGAAACCGAGCAGCTGCGAGAGAATTCAACATTAATGAATCAATGTTACGGAAGTGGAGGAAGCGCAGTTTTTGGCTTTCCCCATATTTCAAAAGTGCTTCATCTCTTTGCTGTGACTGTTGCCCGCCATAATTTGCAGATGATAATGGTTGTAGCCGCTGCGATGCTTTCAACCAAAACAGGCGCAGCTTGATGACATCATCAACACGTGCTATCGCGATAGAGCGATATAGTCAAAATCTCTATCGTTTGCCAAATTTATATTGTTTCTATCGTATATTGTTTATATCGCCCACCCCTACTAGTAAATTAACCAACATATATTTACTGGAATTATACAAAACAGCATTAAGTAATGATTACTGTAAGATGATTAAATAAATGTCTATACTAAGAATATTGTATTTGAATGTCTTTATGCATGCTGAGTCATCGAGGTAAGAAAATCCCAGAAAGTTGATTCTGTTCATGTGGACAGTGAGACACGTTTCACAACTACAACCACAATTTACTGGTCACGTTAACTTGGTGGACAAATACATTAATTTCACTAGAAGAATATGAAAAATGACAGGCTAGCCTTCTTAGACTGAGATTTCCTTGAGTAATGGGGGACATTTAAAGTCGATGTGCACGGTAAACAACATCCGAGATCTCAGGAGAGCACAGTCCCACGAACAGCTAAGATACTGCGAGGGCCCTCAAGCTCCCAGGCCTCTGGTAGAGGACCTGAGCTTGAAGGACAGACGGGAGGGGTGAGAGGGGAATTTTTTTAATAATATAGTCTCATCATCCACTGGACACAAATATCATCAAAATGACACAACACAGAGCGAACACCATCACCACAGACACAATGGCTAGGGAAGAAGAAGAGCATCATATCCAAAAAGGCCCCGACTCCCTCTGTGACCATTCATCGATGGTCAAGGCTGACCTCATGGCCCGTTCTTGTCAGTGGTGCTAGTTTCGGTCATAATGCAAATGTTCTGCTTATAAGGTTGGGAAAAGCGGCAGCTGGCCAAGACTGAGGAAGGTCTACGTCAACCTAAGTCTTTTTAAGTAGAAATAAACTTTGCTTATAAATTCCCATATATGTAGGTTTATTCAATAGAGTATAATTAATACGGTAGATTTTCAGCCAGCTGTTTACAAAGGTGAATTACACAGAGGAATAAATAGAGCTACTCACATACAGAAAAGAAATTCTAATCACGCCAGTTTGTGTTTTTGACATTTTTGACACAGTTCTGATATTGCTCAACAAAACAGAAGATAATATGTGTGTCATCTATTTTCTAACCTGGTCTGGTCTTGGTGCTGGTCAAAAGCCTTCAGTGTTTCACTGGAGGAATAGGACTTCTGGGTGGGGACCCGGAGTCCCTGGGAACCAATAGCACAGCCTTCACTGTCCCCTGATGAACATAAAATAGACAGATTAAAAAAGTCTTTATGTAGATGCAGCTCAAGCCCCATATAATCCATCACTATGTACAGTTAAAGTAGAGCGTCAAAATCAACTCTGAACGAGAAGGGTGCAAATGTCTGCCAAGCCCAACACACTTTTCAGTTTTACTTGTTTAAAATGTTGGTAGTTTAACCTCCTAAGACCTGAACTCTTCCACGGCATGCATTTTTAATTTCTCTTTGATATTTGGGCTGATTGGGACCCGATGAATGTAAAAATAAAGAATTACCAGATGGTTTGTTTTTTTTTTTTACCTAATTTCTGTTTCTAAGAAAAACGAGAGCCACATATGAGGATATTTGTTTAAAATTTCAATAGAACAGTAGCAGTATAACGTCCTCGTGAGTGGATATCAGGCCTTTGTAGAGCTAAATTGAGTATTTGGTCTAAATAACCCAAAATGTGATGTCCACATATGTGGACGCCAGGTCCAGGAGGTTAATTTACAACACCAAATATTTTGACTTCCAACAAATAATTTCATTGAGGAAGGATACAATAATATAATCAATAACCATCAATGAGACACTTTCATTTTTATCAGCACAAGTTACAAACAGTGCAAACTAAGGTTCTGAAAACGAATGCTCAATGGCTTGAAGATGAGCTGTGAAGCTGTAGTTTACTTGCTTTACTAATTACATCCGTCTCCTCATGTCCTACACAGAGAACTTCTGCTGTTTTCTACCTACATGTCCCTAGGCTTTAAATACACACTGCAAGGGCTAATGAGATGACACAGAACTAAAGAACTAAACCAACCTTAACTAAAAGAGGGTAACCAGATAGGTAAATAGGTTAAGCACAATACACAAGTGATAACAAAATAAAACAAGAAGTGAGATGCAAAAACTAGCAGATAAACACAGGCAGAACTGAGCTAAGTATAGGGGAATTCCCAGAGACAGGAATGCTGTGAAAAAACTGAGGGAATAAACACCAAGGCAAACCTTTAAACAATAAGCAACCTAAGAATTAAACCTAAGCTATTAAGTGATTCTTGGCATAAACTGAACTGAACTGTTGATATTATTTTATGTTACATATTTATGTTAAACTATTACAACATAATAGCTTCAAAGAATTACAAAGAAAATTTCAGGATTACTGACAGTAGTAGTAATCTCTCCACCAATCATTTCACCATAATTTAGCTTCTTCTTTAATCGAAAAAAGACACAGAACAAATAATGAAACCAGGTTGCATTTACTGGATTTACTGAGGAGGGTAAGTCACTGCAGACTACGTGATTTTTATGTTGTGTCTGTTCCATTAATAACTAACAGAAAGAAGTTTTGGTCTCAAAACGCTTAGAAAGCATCAAATTATAAAATTAAATTGAAAAAAGAATAAAATGTCCTTGATAACAACTACATTAAAATAGCTTCTCTTTTTATTGAATAAATCCAATCATATTATAATATAAACAAAATTATTCACACATACGAGGGACAGAAAAGTTTAAGGTCAAATCAAATAATAATAATTTTGAATATTTAATATCCAAAATCAAACATTGAGGTATGTTTAAGAAACATGCAGATGGATAAGATAAACTCAAGGAAGACAAAATCATCACCACACGAAGCCACTCCTGACATACCTTTGACTTCTCAGGAGTAAAAAATGAGGTGATATACACAAACCAAAGACAGAGCCAGGCCAAAATTTAGTTGTAAGAAAATGTAACAGCTCATCTAAAAAACAGGAAACTGACAGGAGTTTGCTATTTGGCTTTTGAATACTCTTGTGGTAGTACAATGTAGTAATAAAATATTTATATACTGTGAGGACCAATATCTTAATAATAATGAATAAGAATGGTGGTATATGTAGATTACATTGTAAGGGTTGCAGACGATTGTCTAGCTCTACAGCACATGGACATCAACGCAACCTGTGTATGCACAGAAATCAATTGACAAACAATCTCTATGATAATCTACTGAGGAGGCCTCACAATCTTGCTGCAATGCTTTCCTGATCCTGTTACCCAGTCATGATTTAAAAAGAATCTCAGCTGTTTTTATGTTTAGTGTTTAATTCATTTACTGATTGTTGTTTTAATATAATTAAATTATAATTGAGAATGGAATTAAAGATGGCATTAAAGAAAACCTAAGAACCTAAGCCTTCACAGTCACAGGAAGCATGCAATATATAAATTCCCCTCTCGTCCCTGCGGGCAGTCTATCCTTCAAGTTTGGAGGGCTGGGAATCTGAGGGTCCTGCGTAGTATCTTTGCTGTTCCTACACTGTAAAATGTAATATTGTGTTTAATTAAAAATATTAAGTAGGCAGAACTCAGTTTTTTTATCAATTTGTTATTAGAACTCAATTTAAGTAACTTACCAGTACTTTTTATGCAAAAATGCTGATCAACTCAATTTATTTGAGTTTTCTTAACTTAGAAAACCTAAGTAAGCTGGAAATGTTGCTTCTCAGGGCGGAAGGATGAAAGATGTGTTTTGAAAACACTACCGTCCTCCTCCCTCTCGGATCAGTCCGCATGTTCATGGTGCATTTGTTATGGAATATGTTGAGCAAACCTGGAGAAGCGTCAGCTCAAGAGATTATTGTCATTGCTGTGGATCTTTACCTGATACACTGACTTGGTGAGTAAATGTTTACTCTTATTCAAACTGATTTTGTGGCTTCTCTTAGTTTAGCACCAGGTTTATAATCTTGCTAGCTAGTTAGTGTTAGCCTAGCGTTGCTGCTGCGGCTGGGCTCATGTTACTTAAAAATTAACACCACAGCCTTAAAAACATTATAAAAATATGTCTCTGTGAAATTTTCTGTTGATTGTTTGAAATAAAAAAGTGAGATAAGAGCCCAGACAAAATTTTTCGGGAGGTGTAGCCGTTAGGGGTGTGGTGTGGGGGGTATTTTCAATCCATAGCCATAACTTACTAACTAAGTATTTATATCATGTTTAACCTGAGTAGCAAAAGACCGCAGGGGGGTTGAAAATAATACGCCAGCAGTGAGCTGTGCTCACAGACTCTATTGAGCCTTGACCTCCCGGTCAGCTATCGCGCTGGTGGATAACAGAGCTCTCCGAAAACGTGGAAGCACTTTTGCAAATATGTGATATTTTGATAAATTAAGGAGATATTTGAGCATTACACAGCTACATTCTCGCCTGAAAATATCTTAAAAGTTTATTTGGTGACCCAGAAAGGGTAGTCTGGGGAAAAGGAGGCCGTGGTTGTCGGAGCCTGTCTATGTGTACTTGTGGTCTCGTGGACTTGTGATACGTTGGAGAACAAGTACTGTTCCAGTTCAAAGTACACATGAAGCCAGGAACGCGAAAATTTCCGGGATGTGTTTTTGCTCCTCTCGTTTTATCGAGCATGTATCCTGACTTGTGTGGACTTCGAGGGACGTGGTACAGCTAAATATGCAATTGTCCAAAACTCAAACGCGGCAATGGCGGAGGAGCGCAGCTAAAAAACTTTAAATATTACATTTCCCGGGTCACAAAATAAACTTTTAAGATATTTTCAGGCGAGAATGTAGCTGTGTAAAGTATCTGCTCGATTTATCAAGACATCACATATTTGCAAAAATGCTCCAACGTTTTGGAAGACGTCTATTTTTTTAATGCTTTGTGGCAGCTTTTGAACATCTGTGGCATCTATTAATGTCAAATCTAGACTTTATTTAACAACATAAGCAAACTGCTTTTATATTTAACTACTTTTCTGTTTAATTAAAATTTTAATAATAATATTAACAATAGTATTTGTTTTGTTCAAACGTGTTTAAAAACAAGTTTTGTTGTGAAAGCTATAATCCAGATTAGTGGCCTGTTAAATGGTTGAAGTCTAGGTTGGCTTTATAACTGAGAATAAAGTATTATAGGTTGTCCTTCTAAAGAATTAAGTTAAATTACACAGTTGAATCATAAGAAACATTATGTTACATATAAACCCTGCCATATGTTAGATCTGGTCATTTTGCTTATAAGAAACTTTATATACTGGAGGTTAGCTTTGAACAAGCATGTAATGATTATATTTAAATTCGGGGGTCTTTTTTTTAAACACACTAAACTGACAGTGCCAATACCACACATTCAGACACAGTAGTAGATGCTGTTTTTATTACTATATGTGTTAGTCTAATTTGGTTGTATGGGGTCTACATTGACCCTCTGTGTTGTAAGTTATTATGATTGCACAGCCATTAAGGATCAAATCAGTTTCTAAAAAATGTTCTGTTTTTTCTCCCTCTGCTTGCTTCTTACTGTCTTTGAGGCTCGGGACCAGCACTCCTGCTGTTGGACAGAAAGACATCAGTAAGTATTTTGGTTTTCCAATATTTAGCAACTGTCAGTGACATTTATATTAATCAGGCTGAACTTTAATCATACTTTAGATCAGCCTGTTTTACTTATTGTTTTATTTGTGCTTTGGTTTGGGGAAGTTGTTTCTTACTGATCTTTTCCTGTCTTCTGTTATTAGACTTGAGATATGACTGCACTATGCTGTTGCTGGTGACTCCAGTTAATTCTACAAGACATGCTGTGTAAGTAAACAAACAACAACAGTTTGTCTGCATTTCTTGAAAGATCACATCCCCCAAACTTAGTTTAGAGGGTCTACACTGTATATAGTGAAGTCTGCAAGTTTTCTAACAGCAAAATTTGTTTTGTGCCCAAATCATTTTGCACATCTTAGAATGAAAGTTATTGGCCATGTTTGCATAGCCCTTTTTAAAATGATGCTTTCATGACATTATTGTGTGTTGGGTGGTGGTCACGGCTATCCAGACTGACAGTGGGACATTGAATGTCACCTCTCCGTGGGGAGGGAGCCTGAGATTGTCCAAATTGGAGTCTGTTTTATACCAAATGCAGAAAAATGTTTTAAGAAAGCAATTAAGTTCATGTTCCAAAAAATATGATTGTTTGCTTGCAGGACAACAGGAGAGATGAGTCCTCCGTCACAGATGGTGTGGTCAGTGAAGATGGTCGCCTGCAGGTTCAAGCTCATTGCATCTCCAACCCACATCCACTGCCACTGTACTTAAGGGAAGTTAAAGACTTTCTTCTGCACCTACATTTGGATCACCTCGATCCATGACAGTCATTCGGCAGTAATGCCTGGACTGGAAACAAGCCACCCTTAAAATAATACAACATTCCTGCTCATGTGTTGGAATGAAAAACAAATGTGACAGAGAATGTGCATCTTTTTTTGTTTTCATATTTTAATTTATATTTAATTGTGTTGTGGTTTGCAGTGTTTTGTGTTGTTTTCACTTTAAATTTGTTTAAAAGGAAAAAGCTGAAAATTTAAATAGTTAAAAGTTGAAATGTAATAGTTGGTTTTTGTATTATATGATTTATTTATTACATTTTATGTGGAGTGAATAAATAAAAGTATATTTACGGTGGCCCCTAGAGACAAAGCACGTACAAACTCCAAAACATCAACAACACGTACAAACTCCAAAACACGTAAAAATTCCATAGAACGCACAAACTCTGAAGCACGTACAAACTTAAAGTTAAAGACTTTCTTCTGCACCTACATTAGGATCACCTCGATCCATGACAGTCATTCAGGCAGTAATGCCTGGACTGGAAACAAGCCACCCTTAAAATAATACAACATTCCAGCTCATGTGTTGGAATGAAAAACAAATGTGTTGTTTAAATCAGAGACTGCACTTGTGACAGAACAACAAATATTTTATTTTGATTATATAAGTAATGTAAGTACAAAACAAAGTTGTGGTAGGCCTAAACTTATTTTCAGAATAATTACATCTGAGACTTTGTTTCATTGTAAGATTATAACAGTGATGGCAATATAATTGTTTGTTGTTCAGCAGAACAGTGTCCAGTATGTTGGCTGTTATACTTTGTTGTGTTTGAAAATAAAAGTTGGGCTGACTTTAACGTCATTACAATAAGTGTTGTTAATTATTTTTAATCATATTCAGGTTACCACAAATTGTTTTTTCATTTAGTTGAACTTGAAATGTTTGTCAGTAGGTAAACAATTAGTACTGTACAGTCAGAAATATCAAGTTATTCTTAATACTGCAGACTTGCAATGATGGCTGTTGTCCTAACAGTCATCTTAAGTAAGCTTTACTTAGTTTTTTTGAGGCGATGAGTTTACATAGTTTTTTTGAGTTCTGGGAAATAATTCGATTTTACAGTGTAGGACTGCGCTCTTCTGAACAGAGATCTCAGATGTTGTTCCTGGGATCTGCTGGAGATACTCGCCTAGCTTGGGAGTCACTGTACCTAGCGCTCCGATTACCACTGGGACCACTGTTGCCTTCACCCTCCACATCTTCTCTGAGCCCTTCTCTGAGCCCTTGGTACTTCTCCTGCGTCTTGTGTTCCGTTGTGTTCGTTGCTGACATTCGGTATTGCTACTACTGCCCGGCCTCCTTCCTTCAGCTTAGCGTACAGCTGAACTTGGGGTGAAACCCTCATGCACAGTAAGGAGCTTCCTGGTCTTGATGTCAGTGGCTTCCATCGCCGCCTTTGGCCAGCTTATTACCCCAGCAGGGTACCTGATCACAGGCAGGGTGTAGGTGTCGATAGCCTGGATCTTATTCTTACCATTCAGCTGACTCCTAAGGACTTGCCTGACCCTCTGCAGGTACTTGGTGGTTGCAGCTTTCCTAGCGGCCTCTTCATGTTTCCTATTTGCCTGTGGGATTCGCAGGTACTTTAGCTGTCCTCTGTGTCTGCAATATTGCCTTCTGGCAGTTCTGACTATCTTCCTTCTCTTTGTTATCGTCTGACTGCACTTCTCCAGTCCGAATGACATCCCGATGTCATTGCTGTATATCCCGGTGGTGTGGATCAGTGAATCGATGTCTCGTTCACTCTTGGTATATAGCTTGATGTCATCCATGTAGAGCAGTTGGCTGACAATTGCTCCATCCTGTAGTGGGTATCCATAGCCAGTCTTGTCAATGATCTCACTTAGAACCACAAAAAGTTTTTTTCTGTTCATCTGGATGTAGCGTTTTCAGTGGGAGAAATGTTTCATCACTCATCAGAATCAGAATCAGAATGGGATTTATTGCCAGATGTTGAGGTTTACAACATTAGGAAATTGCTGCGGTGCTTCAGTGCAAACAATAAGAATTAAAGTGCTATGTAGAAAGAAAGATATGTGCATGAGGATATACATGAGATATATACATGAGAATAAGAATTATGAGTGCTACGTAGAAAGATATATACATGAGTGCAGGTGGTGATCAGTGCCAAACATGAAATGATAAAGGCAGGTGTACAGGCCAAGAAGTGCAGTAGGTAGGGTCATGTGTTAGTGGTCGGGACAGTCATGGGTTATTGTTCATGTGTCCAACAGCAGAGGGGAAGAAACTGTTCTTATGGCGAGAGGTTCTGGTGCGAATGGACCGGAGCCTCCTGCCTGAGGGGAGCAGGTCAAACAGACTGTGTCCAGGGTGAGAAGGGTCAGCTGGATCCGAGCTGCACGCCCGCAGTGTCCTGGAGGTGTACAGGTCCTGCAGAGATGGGGTCTGCAGCCAATCACCTTCTC